TCATGCTTCAGTGATTCCCTATATAATCAACCAAATTTTTCCCACGAAAGGGGAGCCCCCCTGGATCCGCCTACAGTCATTATCAATTTCTTTAGAATTTTGCTATAAACACAATCAATAAACGAAGATGTGGAATATGTGTAAGTGAGATAGATACTCAAAAGTACAAATAAACTATAAGACATCTAGAGTCAAATTATGGTCTTCAACACAATAAATAACAGTGTCAATACAATATGTTAAATTTCAATGTAGGGGGTATGATAAGGCCACTAGTTTGGACCAATGCCTTTGAAAAGAATTATAAATATTCTAAAAATTATCCTTCAGGGGCTGGTTGTTCAACTTGTCGTTAAGTCTAACGCTGTCATTAAAATATGATAACGCATCGTTAAAATATAACAAAGCATTAGTAGTGATTAGTCTGTCTGATTTCAGTATTTGTTTTTTTTTAATTTTGTCTTTCATATAAGCAGCAGGGCTTCTGCAAACTTCTTGCAATTGGCTCAAAACTTACACAAAAAGCCTCATTTTGAAATCTTGTCATTCAAATTTAGATATGCACAAAGACTATATCCAAAATATATGTGCTTTAATATTTTACAAAGATGTTAATGTGTTTCAAATATCTTTTTAGGTAAAGCCTTTGCTCTTATCTTTTTTGTCCAAAACTTTTGCATGAAATGACCAATTTAGGACAAATATCTCAATTATGACAAGTTGATGAAATCTTAGTAATATAGATACTGATTCTGCACCAAAATTTCAGGATTATAACAACTGGATTAGTTATTAATCAACATAATTTTGAAAAGGCTTGAATAAGTTATCCACAAGACAAACAAAATTAGAGTTCCATATATAGGACTCTGTATCTGTTACCTGGCATTTTTGCATAAAGCTGATAAATATTATTAAGAATATTTATGACAGTCTCTAGCAAAATATCAATAAATAGGTAAAATTGTCTTTCAAGAGCAATACATCATAAAAGAAGTGGACTGACCATTTTGGCAATTTGATATATTTGTAGACCTTGTCTTGAGGATCCATTTTGCTATATTCACATTGATTTGTACATAAATCAGGCCGTTAGTTTTCTTGTTTGAATTGTTTACATTTGTCATTTTTGTGCTTTTTATAGCTTATTATGCGGTGTAGGTTTTGCTCATTGCTGAAGGCTGTACAGTGACCTATAGTTGTTAACTTCTACGTCATTTGGTCTCGGTTGGAGAGTTGTCTCATTGGCAAAAAAACCACATCTTCTTATTTTTATATCTTCTATAGCATGTATAGTTTCTGCCAAAAAACCCACAAAAAGTGGTAAATATACTCTTCCATGGGCAATTACTCCTATAAGTAGTAAAATGACAATTGCAACAATATTAACTTATTTGTAGATCTTGACAAGGTGAACATTTTTATTACTTCCAGTTTATCTCTATCTACCGGCCATACTTTAGTTTCTGCAAAAACACAAAAATGGGTTTAAATCGTCTTTTTAGACAAATAAGAGCAATAACTCCTCTATTTAGGAATTATCTGATGATGATTTTGCCAGGTTCGATCATTTGTAGATCTTTTCCTGGTGATCATGTTTGCTGTTAACAGTTTCTTCCTATTTTCTGCATATAAAAGCAGGAAAATTGATAAAAAAAATTGTCTTTAAAGGGCAAAAAAAAGCTTCGCTGAGCGCAGCCAGATACGACCGCAGAGATCTAACCCTGAACAGTTGGGGCAAGTTTGGATACAAAATTCAAGCTTGATACTGTCTGAATTTGGATTGTGATCAAATTTTTGACATAATATAGGTTTCTTACACAAAATAAATGTGGTCAAAGATCTTAAAAATTTGAAATGGGACATTTAATTACCTAGAATGGTCTGATATCCAAAATCTAACAACATGGTTAGATTCAGCATATAAAAAACACCAAAAATTTAATTTTAGTTGAAATCAAACAAAGTTCAATTTTAGACCCTTCAAACCTTAATATTGACTAATTTGAAAACAGGGCCCAAAATAAAAAATCTAAATGCACAATAAGATTCAGCATATATCATACAGCCGCAATAATTCAGTTTTTGATGAAATCAAACAAAGTTTAATTTTGGACCCTTTTGACCTCAATGTAGACCAATTTAAAAATGGGGCCCAATATCCAAAAAAGTAATACAAGGTTAGAACCCCCAAAAATTAAAGATTTTAAATTAATCCCATTCAAATTGGTTAAAAGATTTGTATTTATTTTCAATTGAAGATTTCTTGCTATTGCGCAATACTATGCAATTGAAGGTTTCTTGCTATTGCCCAATACAGTGCAATTGAAGATTTCTTGCTATTGCGCAATACTGTGCTATTGCTCAATACTGTGCTATTGTGCAATACTGTGCAATTGCGCATTACTGTGCACTTGAATATTTCTTACTATTGTGCAATCCCAGCCTTCCCTTTGTGATATGGAACCTTGTGGTACAATTTCTGAGAGATCCATACACTAACACACAAATTATTGTCCGGAACTACAAAAATGCTTGTTTTTGGCCCCTTTTTGGCCCCTAATTCCTAAAATCAATCCCAACCTTCCTTTTGTGGTATTGAACCTTTTGGTAAAATTTCTTAGAGATCCATTCACTTAAACTAAAGTTATTGTCCGGAAACCAAATGCGTCTTAGGACGACGTCGACGACGACACCATAGCATTTTACGACGCAAAAAATTTTTTGCTGTCTTCTATAAAGAGTAATAAGGACCATGATGACTTATTTGTAGATCTTGTCCTGCCGATTGTTTTTTTTTTGCTAATCACAATTTTTCTGTATGCTCTCTATCCAGTATAAACCCTTAGGCAAACAAATGTCAGTTACCAATTGTCCCCTGTATTAAAACTCTACCATGTGAAAGCCCTCATATCAATGGGAGTCTAAGGCTGATAGTAACCAGCACTAGGATATAGAAAATAGAAATTTTTATATTAATACATGTACATAAATAAATGAAAGTTCAAGTTATAACTTCCTGTAAGAACATTTTTGAAGAAAAATTTGTGTGTTAGTGTATGGATCTCTCAGAAATTGTACCGACAAGGTTCCATATCACAAAGGGAAGGCTGGGATTGAGTTTGGGGGTAATTGCCCCAATGGTTCAGGAATAAGGGGCAAAAAGGGGGCCAAAAACAAGCATTTTTCTAGTTTCCAGACAGTAACTTGGGTTTAAGTGTATGATCATCTCTCTAAAATTGTACAAGGTTCAATTCCACAAAGGGAAGGCTGGGATTTATTTGGGGGTAATTACTCCAAGGGGGAGGGGGTTCAAAAAGTTTGGGGGGATCTTTTTTTTCCAATTTTTTTGGAGGGTTCATATTTTTTTTCTTCAAAATTTATCTTCAAAAACTTTCCTTGTTCGTTTCATTCATGGAAAATTTATCATATACATGTATGTACTTTATATAAATATGTCTAATGGTGTTATTAAATAATTATTATTGCTATTCTCAAACACATGAAACAGCATATATCTACAATGAAACAATTTGATGTATAAACCCTGACCCTCATGCAGAATCAGATAATTTAGTCCAGACTGGCTCAGCAGTTACAGAGGATAATTTTGAAAATGCTCCGGGCACTTTAAGAAATATGTCATTTTATGAATTCAATGAACACTTAACGTTTCAGGACCAAAACTGACAACAAATGAATAAAAGGAAATAAATGGCATTATGGTATACCTCAATGAGACAGCAACCCAACAACAAAAATAATCAAAAGACAAGTATGTCTTTGCCTTCATCAGTCAGGGGTGCTACTTAAACAAGTGATTTCATCATCACTTATTTCAGTGATTTGATAAATTCAGTTATCACCTATTTAAGTGATTTTAGTGTTTTCTTTGATCTTCAAATGCTAATTTCATTGATTTTCCATATTTTCACAATCTTTTCTATAATTTTCTTACATAAATCAATTATCCCTTTTTCTTTGTATATTAATTTCACCAGTGCGCTTGGGCAGTAAGTTAGTGCGCTAAAGCTTTTAAAAGTACCCTTGGAAATTTTTCTGTAATCAAATATTCATTAACTACTCTTACTATCAGACAAAGATCAACAATATTAGGTAACCTGATTGGTTTTCTTTAGAGTTAGAATGATCTACTTCAAGGTTATGACCTGATCTACAAACTATTCCAGTTTTTGCATATTTTAAAAAAACTGTAAAAGTGTCAGGCTTATCAAACAAAAGACAATTTCTGCATATACATAGTTGTTTTTTCAATGGAATTGTTGTCTTTTTACCAATAAAAAAATCAAGCTTGTAGGAAAAATATCAAGAAAATGTTATAAACACTTTTTAAAGTGATTACATTTTAACTTCTAAAATTACTTGTTTCAGTGATTTTAAAAAGTCTGTGTGAAAATTTTTAATATTTCACAGCCAAAATCACTCGAGGGAGTGATTCTGAAATCACTTGTTTAAGTAGTACTCCTGACTGTTCATGTTGGAGTGCAAAATGCACAATTTCCTTCACAAATCAACCAAATACAGATTTGGTATAGTGACCACTAAACTTTTCATCCATTTAAGCCTTGTAATACTCATCGCTGCTATTACATGTATCAAATGAGGACTTTTTTCAGAAAATCAACCGGTTTGCCCTCAAACATATTGGCCAAGGGAAATTAACAACAACTCAAATGACTTCGGTCATGTCAAAGGAAAACTAGAGAATCTGAGGGTCTGGATGATCAGGGATTACAGAATAAAGAATACACGTAATGGACAAAAAGTGCAGAACAAAGGTTAAAGAAATAAAGAATAGAGAAAAATAGGCCAAAAAAAAAGGAATACAAAATAATGGGGTGTTAAAATGTAAAAAAAATAGAGAAGATCTAGCATGATCAAAATAAATTTAAAAAAAAGAAAAAATAGTCTAAAAAGTTAGAGAATGAAGAAATGAGGGAACTCCATCCAGACCTTCATCTATTATCAATTTTTTCCCTGAAGGAAGGAAATATGTACTTTTAATGTCAGTTGAATTTTGTTATTGTATTCTCATCAATCTGACACTACATTTGGAAATTTAGTTTGTCTGCCTATCCATACAATGATTTCATCTTAAAAGCAGCATTTTCTGTGTAGGAGTTGGAAAGATCCTGTAGTTTATATACTTGGAACAAATGAGTAAATGGCTGAAGTTAGATTAGAAGGTAGTTAAAGTAAATATGTTATGAGTAAAAACAGCAAATAAATTTAAGAGCTACTTTGATTCAGGTAAGATATACAATTGGACCCTACTTGGTTTGTTTTAATATGCAGGAATTCTGTAAGTTGAAAACGACATGCTGTTAAGGGAAACCTTGGAAAGAGAAATAAGTTAAAAATCAAAACTAAAGTATGATAATATAAAATAAACTGCTTCGCTGAGCGCAGCTGGATACGCCCGCAGAGGTCCAACCCTGAACAGTTGGGGCAAAAATGGACACAATACTCAAGCTTGATACAGGTTTGAATTTGGATTGTATTAAATATTTGACATATTATAGGTTTCTGAATAAATGTAGTCAAAGAAATTGAAATTGGTTATATGAATTGAATTTATATTCAATTAAAGATTTCTTGCTGTTGTGCAATACACTGTGCTGTTGCGCAATACTTAGTAAATCTGCTGTCTGACTATAAACAATTAAAGTTCAATTAATTCTCAATGTCATATTAGAAATTTATGAAAATGTAAAGGGAGCTTACATCAATAGATATAAACAGTTCACCAAAGTTTCATGAGAATTGCTGACAGCATTTTAGAGTTATTGGCTGAAAACTGGAAAATCCCCCCTTTTTTTAATGAATAAAACCCCATAACTCAGAAAAAGAGAAATGTAAAATGTAAAATTTATAAAATTCTAAAGGGAGCTTACATCAATAGATATAAACAATTCACCAAAGTTTCATCAGAACTGATGAAAGCATTTTTGGTTTTTTTTTCCGAAAACTGGAAAATCCCCCTTTTTTTAAGAATAAAAACCCTGTAACTCAGAAACGTAAAATCTAAAATATATAAAAATCAAAAGGGAGCTCATGTCAATAGATATAAACAATTTACCACAATTTCTTGCAAGTTGGTGAAAGCATTCTTGAGTTATTGTCTGAAAACTGGAAAATCCCCCTTTTTTTAATGAATAAAACCCCATGACTCGGAAACGTAAAATCTAAAAGTTATAAAAAACGAAAGGGAGATCACGTCAATAGACAAACAATTCACCAAAAATTTATGCAAATTGGTTAAAGCGTTTTTGAGTTAATGTCCGACATGTTGACGAAAAACGGACAGACGGACAGACCGACAAAGGGGTACCATAATACGTCCCGTAAACAGGCGTATAAAAAAGAAGATGTGGTATGATTCATTTGCCAATGAGACAAATCTCTAAAAGTGACCAAATGACACAGAAATTAACAAATATAGGTCAGCGTACGGTCTTCAACAATAGTTAAACCCATACCGCATAGTCAGCTATAAAAGGCCCTGAAATGACAAATGTAAAACGATTCAAACGAGAAAACTAACGGCCTGATTTATGTACAAAATAATGAACGAAAAACAAATATGATATACAGCAACAAACGACAACCACTGAATTACAGGCACATACAGAATGTGGCAGGGTTAAACTAGTTTGAAACTATCAACAGGGCATTCAAAAGCCACAAGTCGAAGAATGACGGACAATAGTCATTGCAAAAAAAGAATAAACATAAGAAAAGACAAACAACTAGACATCACTGAGATGGGAGCCATCTCTGTGGGCACCGCTGTAAATAACTTGTGGTAAAATATTTGTATGGATAAGCTGATATGAAGCACTTTTTTAAGCTATTACATAGTCTCGTTATGTGCTGAGAGTGATTTTATTTTATGTTTTTTAGTTAAAGTGTTATATTTGGCCTAGGAAGTTGTACATACATTATGACACACCCTCTAGTGTTGGTTATTATACATGTCAAGTATAAAGTATGAAATCATAACGGTTCTCTAGATATAGAGCGGACACAATTTGTTACGGACGGACGGACAGATGGATGGACAGACTGATCACTATAGGGCTACCCGCCCCTAGGCCGGGCCCTAATAATCCACAAAAACTACAAAACAAAGAAAACAGCTGAGCCAAAATCGTGAGATCAGTGACAGCGTGTACATATTATGTAAATTTAATCACTTTATGGGGGAATCCACACTGGTATTAACTATTTGTATGTTTGAATAGATTTAACATGACTGTGCCCAATGATGGATTATATCAGTGATAAATTGATTTGATGTGGACAGTCTTTATTTGAATGCTCACATGTTGGGTCGATCCATACATACGTATACCACAGGCGATTCCGTAGAGTGAACAGCCTTAACCTCTGGGCAAACATATTGGATCGATCTAAACATACACATGACCGGTGTGTATTTCATAGCGTTAAAAACATGTTACTCAATGAAAAAAACAATGTGTCAAAATGTCTAAAAGGATTTGTGAAGGCATATTTGTGCTACAATGAGACATTAAAAATTGCCTTGTTTTGTACGATAAAGTTCTATTACTCTGGAATGACTAATCTGAAAATCTTCAAAATGGAAGACTCAGTTTACTTATCTAAGTAAGGTACTGTGGATTCATTGTTATTTGTTGAATATCAAGTTTCGTTGATTTGTGGGCATGTAAAACTGAGGTTAACCTTAAATTTAAATGTTTTACAAAGAAAATGTTTTAAAGCTTGTATACTGACTTTGGCCAAACCACGATTTCAAATATCAACCAAATACAATTTTCTAAAATCCACAAAAAAAAAAGAATCCATATTATTAAGTGATGACACAAAGTTTCATGTTATTATAAAGTGAAATCAACTTGACTTATCACATGATTATATATAACGATTGAGTAACATTAGCCCCACAAGCCACAAAAAACTAGGGGTGAGCTCTGGTGTTCCAGAAGGCTTAGCAGTTTCTTCTTCTTCTTCTACTTCTACCATATTATAAGTGACCGCCTTAAACAAATTGAAGATTATGTCACAGGAGTAGAACTCACAAGATTTATACAAATTTAAAAAAAAAATTTGTAAGGGTTCCGCGGAACCCTGTGTCTCGCCTACTTTTTCTGTTAATCGCAGACTCAACAAAAATGAGGAAGTAAATCAATAAAAATATTCCTCTTGATACTATCTTTTGATTGTAAGAAGCTTCTGTCTAAGTTTGGTAAAATTCCAGGATAGTTTATGATTTAAAATAACTGTTTAAAAACTTTAACTGCAGACTGAATGTAATGTTAACTGGAAGAAAACAAAATTTCCTTCTAGATACTAGCATTTGATCATAAACAAGCTTCTGTCCAAGTTTGGTACAAATCCAAAATAGTATAAGAAAGTTATTAAAATTTTAAAAACTTTAACCACAGAGTGAATATGTTGTTTCCTGGCAGAAAATCTAAGTCCATTTAAAAGTAAAATACGGAAAAAATGGATTTATTTTTTTACAAAATTTCCTTCTAGATACTAGCTTTTGATCATAAACAAGCTTCTGTCCAAGTTTGGTACAAATCCAAAATAGTATAAGAAAGTTATTAAAATTTTAAAAACTTTAACCACAGAGTGAATATGTTGTTTCCTGGCAGAAAATCTAAGTCCATTTAAAAGTAAAATACGGAAAAAATGGATTTATTTTTTTACAAAATTTCCTTCTAGATACTAGCTTTTGATCATAAACAAGCTTCTGTCCAAGTTTGGTACAAATCCAAAATAGTATAAGAAAGTTATTAAAATTTTAAAAACTTTAACCACAGAGTGAATGTGTTGTTTCCTGGAAGAAAATCTAAGTTCATTTAAAAGTAAAATAAGGAAAAAATGGATTTATTTTTTTACAAAATTTACTTCTAGATACTATCTTATGATCATAAACAAGCTTCTGTCCAAGTTTGGTACAAACCCAGGATAGTTTAAGAAAGTTATTAAAATTTTAAAAACTTTAACCACAGAGTGAATGTAATATTTACCGGCAGAAAAACTAAGTCCATTTATAAGTAAAATACGGAAAAAATGGAATTTTATTTTTACAAAATTTACTTCTGGATACTATCTTATGATCATAAACAAGCTTCTGTCCAAGTTTGGTAGAAATCCAGGATAGTTGAAGAAAGTTATTAAAATTTCAAAAACTTTAACCACAGAGTGAATATTTGTGGACGCCGCCGACGACAGCGACGACGACGCCGACGGAATGTAGGATCGCTATGTCTCGCTTTTTCGACTAAAGTCGAAGGCTCGACAAAAATGGAAAAAAAATTTAATATTACGAATGTACAATAATTAAGTCATTGTAAGTTTGAGGTGAATAGCTGAATTTAATATTGATGTTTTGAGATCGGTGATTTGAAAGAATCTACTGATGTGCGATTTAGGATATAAAAGTGTTATCATTTATTTCATGTTTTTAATGGATTACTACCTGTTCAATACATAATTTCTAATAAGAAATATTTGCCTATAACTGATTTAGCAAACAAACGAAATGAAATGATCTGATAACTAGTTTTCTCATCATTGGCATCCCCTTATCTTTAAATATAAATATTACATGTTACTAAATGAACATGCAATCATGACAATTACATATATTTAAGATGTGTTACTAAATCAATGTTATCTTCCTGTTTCAGCAACAAGAAATATTTCCAAGTTCATACTTCTGTGAGAGGAAATTACATCACTACACTTGTACTTAATAAAGTTTGGAAAATCCTTGTAAGTAGAACGCCTTTCACTTTAACTTACACTTACTTAAGTATAGCTATGATAAATATTTCCTGATTTCAAATAATTCTAAATATATCATTCTATGAAAACATTACATATATATATACAATAAAATGCTTCGCTGGGCGCAGCTTGATACGACCGCAGAGGTTGAACCCTGAACAGTTGGGGCAAGTATGGACACAACATTCAAGCTTGATACAGCTCTGAATTTGGATTGTGATTAAATATTTGACACAGCATAGGTTTCTGACACAGAAAGAATGTGGTCTAAGAACTTGATTTTTTTTAATTTACCTATTATGGTCCAATGTCCAAAATCAAAATACATGGTTAAATTCAGCATATCAAAGAACCCCATATATTCAATTTTTGTTGAAATCAAACAAAGTTTAATTTTGGACCCCAACTTATACAAACTTGAAAACTGGGCCCATAATCAAAAATCTAAACACATGTTTAGATTCAGCATATCAAAGAACCCCAAGAATTAAATTTTTGTTAAAATCAAACTAACTTTAATTTAGGACCCTTTGGACCTTAATGTAGACCAATTTAAAAAACGGGACCCAAAATTAAAAATCTAAATACACGGTTAGATTTGGAATATCAAAGATCCCCAATAATTCAATTTTTGATGAAATCAAACAAAGTTTAATTTTGGACCCTTTGACCTCAATATGAACCAATTTGGTAGTGGGGCTCACAAATAAAAAATCTAAATACATGGTTAGATTCAGCATATCAAAGAACCTCATATATTCAATTTTTGTTGAAATAAAAAAAAGTTTAATTTTGGACCCCAACTTGGACCAACTTGAAAACTAGGCCCATAATCAAAAATCTAAACACATGTTTAGATTCAGCATATCAAAGAACCCCAAGAATTCAATTTTTGTTAAAATCAAACTAACTTTAATTTAGGACCCTTTGGACCTTAATGTAGACCAATTTAAAAAATGGGACCCAAAATTAAAAATCTAAAAACGTAGTTAGATTTGGCATATCAAAGAACCCCAATAATTCAATTTTTGATGAAATCAAAAAAAGTTTAATTTTGGACCCTTTTGACCTCAATATGAACCAATTTGATAGCGGGCCCACAAATAAAAAATCTAATTACATGGTTCAATTCAGCATATCAAAGAACCCCATATATTCAATTTTTGTTGAAATCAAACAAAGTTTAATTTTGGACCCCAATTTGGACCAACTTGAAAACTGGGCCCAAAATCTAAAATCTAAATACATGTTTAGATTCAGCATATCAAAGAACCCCATATATTCAATTTTTGTTGAAATCAAACAAAGTTTTATTTTGGACCCCAACTTGGACAAACTTGAAAACTGGGCCCATAATCAAAAATCTAAACACATGTTTAGATTCAGCATATCAAAGAACCCCAAGAATTCATTTTTTGTTAAAATCAAACTAAGTTTAATTTTGGACCCTTTGGACCTTAATGTAGACCAATTTAAAAAACAGGACCCAAAATTAAAATTCTAAATACACGGTTAGATTTGGCATATCAAAGAACCCCAATAATTCAGTTTTTTATGAAATCAAACAAAGTTTAATTTTGGACCCTTTTGACCTCAATATGAACAAATTTGATAGCGGGGTCCACAAATAAAAAATCTAAATACATGGTTCGATTCAGCATATCAAAGAACCCCATATATTCAATTTTTGTTGAAATAAAACAAAGTTTAATTTTGGACCCCAATTTGGACCAACTTGAAAACTGGGCCAAAAATCAAAAATCTACATACATGTTTAGATTCAGCATATCAAAGAACCCCATATATTCAATTTTTGTTAAAATCAAACAAAGTTTAATTTTGGACCCTTTGGACCTTAATGTAGACCAATTTGAAAACTGGACCCAAAATTAAAAATCTAAATATACGGTTAGATTTGGCATATCAAAGAACCCCAATAGTTCATTTTTTGATGAAATCAAACAAAGTTTAATTTTGGACCCCAATTTGGACCAACTTGAAAAGTGGGCCAAAAATCAAAAATCTAAATACATGTTTAAATTCAGCATATCAAAGAACCCTGTATATTCAATTTTTGTCAAAATCAAACAAAGTTTAATGTTGGACCCTTTGGACCTTAATGTAGACCAATTTGAAAACTGGACCCAAAATTAAAAATCTAAATACACGGTTAGATTCGGCATAACAAATAAATAAATGTGGTCAAAGATTTGACAAATCTAATGCGCCATACTGTGCAATTAAAGATTACTTCTTGAAATTTTTCAATATTTGAAATTTGAAGAAAAAAAAAATAATATTTGAAGAATAATTCTTTTTAATTTCTGAAATCTGAAATGAGAAAAATTGACCCCCCACAATTTCTCCCCCCCCCCCCTTTTTTCCCCCAAAAAATTCTTTCCCTCAAGATATGGTCATAATCTCAATTCAAATTTCCAATGGAGTTTGCAACCATAATTACCCATTTAAATTTACCATAGTGCTAACTTAATCTATTTTATGATAGAATTTAAAATATAGTGTCAAATCTTTCATATGGATTTTTTTGTAAAAAAAAAAGATGCAACATTTGCAGATATTTTTACTGGTCTTCCTTTATAAATATGCATTTCTTTAAACATAATTTAAAAGCAGTGTAAGGGAAGTAACCAAAACGTTGTATTTGGATTACCTCCCTTACACTGTTTTAAATTATCTTAATTGTTCATTAACCATTACTTTATACATAATTTAAAAGCAGTGTAAGGGAGATAATTTCAATGATGTATTTGATTTATCTCCCTTACACTGCTTTAAATTATGTTTTGTACTAAAGTATTTGTCCATTAACCAGGACAACCTTGTTTTTCCCCCTTTTTTGCCCCTAATTCCTAAACGGTTTGAGCCATAACCCCCCAAAGCAAATCCTAACCATCCCTTTGTGGTATGGAAACTTGTAGTATAATTTCAGAGAGATCCATACACCGTTTCACAGTTATTGTCTGGAAACTAGAAAATGCTTATTTTTGGCCCCTTTTTGGCCCCTAATTCCTTAACTGTTGGTACCATAACCCCCAAAATCAATCCCCACCTTCCTTTTGTGGTATTGAACCTTATGGTAAAATTTCAAAGAGATCCATTTACTTAAACTAAAGTTAGAGTGCGAAAACCAATGTGTCTTTTGACGACGACGACGACGACAACGACGACGACGCCAACATCATACCAATATACGACCGCAAAATTTTTTTGCGGTCGTATAAAAATTAATCAAATATCCAACAAGGAAAAGTTGTTTGTAATTATTCTGCAACAGATTAACTTCATTAAATCTATGTAAATATTCAAAATATTGTTGGGTTATTTCCCTTACTAGGTATGTAACAACTATACACCAAAAAACTCTGCAAATGACCAAGTAGATATATTGATAATAATCAAATAATGGTCAACCTCACATGTTGATGATACAACTTAATAAAGCTGTGCCAGGCCCTATGGATGAAGGTCTGGATGGGGTTTACAGAGAATAGAAAATGGACAAAATGTGCAGAATAAAGTTAAGGACATAAAAAAAATAAAGAATAGAAAAAAATTTGAAAAGAGAGAAAAATATTAAAAAAATAATAGAGAATAATGGACAAAATAAATAAAGCATACTAGAGAAAATGGTCTAAAAAAAAACCTAGGACCCCAATCCAGTACTTCATCATGTTTATATGATATATGTTAATAATATTATAATGTATCTTGATCATATAGCAAAATATGCACCAGTTACATCAGATATGATAATTATTAGAAACTATACAACATGTACAACAAGTAGAAGGCTCCATTAAATAAGTTTATGATACAAAACTGCCATCTCAAGTTTGGTCACACAATTTCCACTTGTTTTATACAGATAACTGTCTGAATCTGAATCAATACGTAAAGCAAACGATTTTTTGTTTATTTTAAAGGAAAATAAAAAGACAATCATCGCTCACCATTACAAGGATAAAAGACAATCTAGACAACAATACAGTACCATCCAGAAACCTTTGCAAGGACAGAGATAATATCTAGACAATAATACAGTACCATCTAGAAACCATTACAAGGATAAAAGACTCAAGACAATCATACAGTACCATCCAGAAACCATTACAAGGATAAAAGACAATCTAGACAACAATACAGTACCATCCAGAAACTATTACAAAGATAAAAGACAATCTAGACAACAATACAGTACCATCTAGAAACCATTACAAGGATAAAAGACTCAAGACATTCATACAGTACCATCCAGAAACCTTTGCAAAGACAGAGATAATATCTAGACAATAATACAGTACCATCTAGAAACCATTACAAGGATAAAAGACAAGACAATCATACAGTACCATCCAGAAACTATTACAAAGATAAAAGACAATCTAGACAACAATACAGTACCATCCAGAAACCATTACAAGGATAAAAGACTCAAGACATTCATACAGTACCATCCAGAAACCTTTGCAAGGACAGAGATAATATCTAGACAATAATACAGTACCATCTAGAAACCATTACAAGGATAAAAGACTCAAGACATTCATACAGTACCATCCAGAAACCTTTGCAAGGACAGAAATAATATCTAGACAATAATACAGTACCATCCAGAAACTATTACAAGGATAAAAGACTCAAGACAATCATACCGTACCATCCAGAAACCATTACAAGGATAAAAGACAATCTAGACAACAATACAGTACCATCCAGAAACTATTACAAAGATAAAAGACAATCTAGACAACAATACAGTACCATCTAGAAACCATTACAAGGATAAAAGACTCAAGACAATCATACCGTACCATCCAGACACCAACAAGGATAAAAGACTCAAGACAATCATACCGTACCATCCAGACACCAACAAGGATAAAAGACTATATAGACAATCATGCTGTGCCTTCCAGAAAACATTACTAGGATAGAGGGAATACATAGACAATATTACAGTACCTTCCAGAAACCATTACAAGGCTAGAGAGAATATCTAGACAATAATACAGTACCATCCAGAAACTATAATAAGGCTAGAGAGACAATCTACACAATAATACAGTACCATCCAGAAACTATAATAAGGATAGACATGATAGAGAGACAATCTACACAATAATACAGTACCATCCAGAAACTATAACAAGGATAGAGAGAATATCTACACAATAATACAGTACCATCCAGAAACCATTACAAGGATAGAGAGAATATCTACACAATAATACAGTACCATCCAGAAACTATAACAAGGCTAGAGAGAATGTCTAGACTATCATACAGTACCATCTAGAAACCATTACGAGGATAGAGAGAATGTCTAGACTATCATACAGTACCATCTAGAAACCATTACGAGGATAGAGAGAATATCTAGGGAACAATACAGTACCATACAGAAAACATTACCAGGATAGAGAGAATATCTATAGAGTAACCATCCAGAACTCATTCCAAAAATTAATTATGTCTCACCAAACGTCTGAATCCTTGCATTTTTATGAATATTTGTGTCAGAAAATTGGATCAGAGAAAGAAGTAACAGCAAGACGACTGACATTTTTATGTAGTGATTTACAGGTATCCAACAAATTATTTCTTAATATAAGTAGCGGAAGTAAGGGAGAAGGACTAGATCTTAAAGGTAGTGATATTGATATCATGACCATTTTTCCTTTCTTCAAAGCATTTGAATCTGATAAAGATATCAAGCCTGTTAAGGATTACTGTTTAATGTTAGTCATGAATATTGAGGACACACAGCCATGTTTTACACATCTACAATTATATTCTAATTATAACATTGTACCACATGAAATAAAACAAACTCTACTTAAACATAGAGGAATGAATTTACTTTCAAGCGACCTTTACAAATCACTTTTCTTATCATATTGTACAACATATTTACATCCTCACCATAGAATTCATGGTCCGTGCATTTCAGACAATAAAGATGTGATAGATTCTGCATTCTGCATTAAATGTGATCAGTGGCTATCTATAGCACAGCATGGCCTCCTCCTGAACTTATTTCCAAAATTACTTCATGTGGTGTCTTATTTGTTCCAATCGGCTACAAGGGATCTATAAATGAGCATCTTCAGTGGCGAATATCCTTTTCTATAGCAGAAAAAATACTTATTTATTCTTTCAGTCATACCCAGTTACTATGCTATGCTTTGCTCAAAATTTTATTGAAAGAAATAGTAGATAGAAACAAAGATTTAAAAGGTTTATTATGTTCATACTTTTTGAAGACCCTAATGTTTTGGGTTTCAGAGGAAACTGACACCTCAGTCTGGAGACCAGACAATATCATAACCTGTTTCATGGCCTGTTTGAAAAGGTTATTATACTGTATAGAATATTCCACATTGCTTCATTATTTTATTCCTGACAATAACTTGTTCTATTTAAAGTTTTTGAACAGTAAAAACAAGAACGCATTAATCAACATCCTTAAGAATGCATATCAAACAGGAGTTCAGATCTTCTCATCATCTCAGACTTTAAATGATTACACAAGATTTCCTAGTGAGATTACTAAATCAGTGTGTGAAACTACTACATTAATCAAAACAATAGTAAAGCACTTTTCCTATCCAACAGAGCAACCTAGTATCGGCAGAATCAACAAAACATTCACCACTTTCCTGCATCAATCATATCTTTGTAAGAGAGAATTATCTAGATACATCTTAACACTGTTAATTGCAAATACATATCAAAGAATACCTTCTGAACTACCACATGTAAATAACCCAAACAATAAACAACCATACAAAAAATACAAACTTGAGCTTAGTCAGTGGTTGGTTGGTTTACAATCAGATGCAGTATCAGGGTGGCTAAAATTAGCTTCCTTCTTTTATGTTCACAAAAAATATTCAACATCAACAGATATCATAAATTACACTTTGTCAAAATGTACATATGAATCAATATTGTCAAATCTCACATCATGCACATTGAAACTGAAGCTTATACCATTGTTGAAGACATATCCAAATCCACTTGTGTCATTTTCAATTTATCCATCAATCCTCCCAATGGAATTAAGAAGTGATTTCTTTGAATCTCTGATTATGGTTAACTACATACCATTTGCATATTTCCTCCGATTTCTGTGTTGTTACCATCTCCAGGACACTAAATCATGTCAATGGCACAGTGGTATATATCCGATGATAAGGACAATCTTGGCAATGGATAACAATTATAAAAATGGCTTATCAGAGAAAAGAGTGTGTATGCAAGATTTTATTTTACTTGGGATAGCCAATCAGATGTTTGGTTGTAGTAGATCAGCAAGACACTGGTTCAGAGTTGCAGCAAGCATGGATCTGTGTAAATATACAAGTGCTGCATCCAGACTGCAACAAACTTATGAAAAATCAAAGTGATTGTAAGCACAGTTGAAGGGTAAAGATTTCTTTAATTTATCAGTGGGAAGTAAAATTAAATATAGCATTGTATAAAGCATTGGTTGTAGTTGATTCAACTACAATTCTGGACATAGGAAGATAACTCCATTTTTTAAAGATGACTTTAACAATGACATCAATGATATTTTTAGAACAGATATAAGATTCCTGCACCTTGCAAAAGTTATGTAATTTTCTTGACAAGTATAACACTATTTTGTGACTTGAATATCTGAGCATATATTGCATTGATAAATTTCTGGAAATGTTCATGGATAGAATGTATAGAATGTTATGATCAATACACTATATTTTGTGTATCTGAAAGGTAGTGATAAACCTAATGGAAGATTTTGATTGCATTTCATGCAATCTTTTCCCAAAAACAGAGTTATTTTTAACACATGCTGTCATTTAGGACTTTATTTTTTAGGAAATAAGATCATATTGACATTGTCAAAGCAGCATTTCATGCTTTATAGTAAAATTCCTTGTACTCAAATAAGTAAAAATTCTGTTAACCATGTTAACTGGAATAAAAGTCATCACATGGATATTAAACTCTTCCATGTGTCTTCCCTGAAGTCACAATAACAAGTAATAAATAGCTTAAATTGCATATATTTTTTTTTAATCCACTGCAGAACCCTTACATGAGGTACATGCATTGGATATTAATAAACATGATAAATGTATGAATTTTTTAAAGAATTTACCATTCAATGTAATTCACCTTTAATCACATTTTTGAATGTTTTTATATATAATACTGTTCTTATTTTAATTATCATGGTCATTGTTGTTTAGTTTTAGAGTTAATAAATCATTTCACTTCACAACATTTTCACTTTGCCTAAAACTACTGAAATTATTGAACTATTGAATGAGTTAGTTACCGTACGGTGTGTGTTAAAGAGATGTTAAAGCGTAAAATATGCAAAGCAGACAATATATTAACACACTTAATCACCTAACTCAATGGACCCCAAGAGAATTCTAAATAAGGGTGTTTTCAAAAACTGGAAAATATATGTAAAAAGTAAAATAACAAAAATACTGAACTCCGACATGTCCAAGGACAATTCCAAACGGAAAGTCCCTTTAAGCAAATGGCAAAATCAAAAGTCCAAACACATCAAACGAATGGATAACAACTGTCATATTCCTGACTTGGTACAGGCATTTTCTCACCTGCTGTTTTTATACTTCAATTTAACCCTGCAATATCAATTTTGATGTATTTAGTTTGTTCTTGTGTCTTAGCTTTCTAATGGCATATAATGGTACCTTGGCAATGCAGTTATGTCAGCAGCCCTTCCATATAAAAATAAGGACATGTAGTATGATTGCCAATGAGACAACTCTACACCAGAAACAAAATGACGTAGAAGGTTAGAAATGATTTTGGATTTGATTTACCTTAAATTATGTTTTGGCTTCATCATACATGTATAAATTATATTTAGAATATTAAAGTATCTGAACATCTGATTTTGGTCTCATTTGCCATAGCTCAGTCCCAGTGGAACGAACCTTTGTCCGGATGAGCCTGACAGACACGTTCAATCAACACAAAGGCCGGGGACAGTGACGCATAGCCACCTGACCCTCCTGTTAGTGTATTCATAATGTCAAAACAATAAAACAAAGTCGAGGGGAACTAGTCAAATGCTAATAGTCCAGGATTATAGATTTATATTAAACTCATATTGTGAGGGGATTAGTGAGATCCTAATTACCTCTTTTGACCCCCCTTTTTGTGTGATTAATAATAATTATGTGAAGAATAATGGATACTTTACATGGAATTTAGTGGTCTGTACATTTTGCAGTTCATCTGATATAATTTATAAGTGAATACCTTTTATATCAACAATATAATTTTCATTCAAGAAGCATGTCATCAATGTTGATGTGTCCATATCCGTCATTGGTTTAGTTTTACTGTATATCATGTATTGCCAGTTTCCGGTGTCATTTTCATGAATCCCATCATCAAACTTTCACTGATTCTCAGCAATAACAGAGCAAATAAGCTCTAAGGAAGGCAAGACTAAGGTTTTTAATTTTCAGGATACCGTGGATGAACCAGTAAATAGGTTAGGTACCTATCACCCAAATCGTTCCTATCCTAAGGTCAAAATTGACACAACTTGTCTCGCTTGTACGAATAGTTTCCTCTTATGGTACACCATTTCTCATTGTAATTTCTCATAGTAATTAGAAAGTTTGTTTAGTCGAAAGATCGGGTTTCAGGGCTTGCCAGTTCTTGAAAACGCCCTGATTTAGATAGATATTCCCCTATAATTTGTGCAGTTTTTTCATATGTATCTCTCTTTGATGGTGAAAGTAGTGTTTGAATGTCTAGTGGAATGTTAAGTATTTCCAGTTGTCTTTTCAAGTCTTTTCTTTCCTGATTGTATCTTGGGCAGTATATTAAGTAATGTTCTGTCGTTTCTTCACCGCATTCACAATATATGGCTTGAGGGTTGACCTTTTTGATTTCTGTATTTGTTTAGCCTGTTGTAGCCTCTGCAAATAAAAAATTGGGAATTCAAGGATAAATATTAAAATTAAAAACTACAAATGTTCATCATCAGCATCATCTTCCAATAATGGTCAGGAGTCATAGACGATTGTAAATATTGACCAGGTGTAGGTCTGAGGGAGCTACTCTCCACACAGGTTTAAATATGTACAAATGAAAAGCTGGTATTTACAGTTAAAACTATCAACATCAAAAGGTGGTTTATGCGGTTGTCCTCAGGGCCGTCCAGAGTGGCTGAGTTGGTCACCATTGTTGGCAGCTGGTTCCAATTCTGGATAGTGCGTGGAAAGAAGGATTGTTTGTACACTTCTGTTTTGGTGTAGATCTGCCTCAGTCTGTTTGCACCTCTGTTTCGGTTGTCACTTTTGTTGATGATGCTGTCGGTTTCTGGTATGAAAATCATGCCATTGATGGCCTTGTACAAGATCAACAGGCGATTGTCTTTACGTCAAATGATTTAATTATAAAAGGCAACAATTGTTGGTCAGCATTGTTTCCGAATGTCTGATTGTAAATGATTTTTTTTATTTTTTGGCCTTGGAAGATAGTCAGCAAATTGTCAAAAAATATCAAGGATCTAAGAGCTTCAGCCTTCTATTGACATTTACAAATCTGGGCCCATTCTCCCAAAATCAAGTTCTCTCCCATTCTCATTCTCCTCTTTCCACATTCACACCCCACATGTTTGCACCCTTTTTAAAGGTTTTGTGTTGAATAAGTTTTAAATCGTGTTTTAGTCAGTGTATTGCTATATAAAGATAAACTATTTTTTTATTGTTTTAAAATAAAATAAAGTGGCATTCCAGTGATCTGGAAGGATTTTTTCTCTATGGGCCCAGGGCCCCCTAAAAATAAATTCAATGGGCCATTTTTAGAATTAATGGGCCATGTTGTCAAATGAGTGGGCCATTCGTTAACAATAAAAAAAAAAAAAAAAAAGTGTATATTTCACTGTACTTACAAGTATGATTCTAATTAATATCATGGAAATTGTTCCTGTGATTTTGTTATTTCAATTTCAATGAATATACAATAACTTCTTCCAAACCTTGCAATATTTACGATAACCTTTATTTACAATGTTAAAACTAGTACTGTTCCCTTGTTCATGTTCATGTTTTTTTTACATTAAATTTGGGTCTTCGTAGATACCATACTTATTCCAGACGTTCCGTTTTAGAGGATGTTTCTGGCATTTCCTCTGCACTTGTATTATTATTACTTCATCACGATGACAAGAATAACAGAAGAGAGCAACGTTATTTGATAAGACACAACAACAATTCGCTGAAGGCATGTTTAATGTCAAAACGAGCCAAAGACCAAAAAAATTGACAAGGACAGTTAAGCCCCTTTTATGGAGACAAATACTATGCTATTCATAAAAAGGCTTTTGGATTTTTCAATCGAAATAATAGCAAGCTTACTTAAAAGATTATAATTAGAGAAGAATTCTCAACTGTACTAGCCAATTTTCACAAATTTAAAGTTGTAATCAGTCATACCGCATGTTGCTATTATAACCATAGGAAAACACCCGAGACGAAATATATAGGTGCTCCTATCATTGGAGTTGTGTACTCACACATGGCGGCACGAAATACGATCGGAAATCCATTTGACGATATCTCAACGTTTCAAAACGAAGTGAAAAATATCATGCGCCACGTGGGCGCTTACATTTGTCACTCAATGCGCCATTTCTGGTTGATAAGCGCAACTGGCGCTAGGCGCACGTCCTTCCCGATCACTGGCATTCTAACATGTCTAAAACATAAACAGCTTTTCTTTTGTGAATTATTTGGAAGCAATTATTTTGTCAAAATGGATAATGAATATTGTCATGATGATCAAAGACGAAGTCATTTTTCTTTAAGACTTGTAAATGAAAGGCAGAAGATTCCAAACGACTATCAAACTCCTCACAAACTGTTGAAAATATTTATCTTTATTTTTTCCATTAAAAATTTTCATTGTTTTTACTCGTACAATGTACCTAGCTAACTACTTGTATTTTACTTTACACCAAACACATTACAGTAATCTTAAATATGTGATTTGTATGTCACAATTAACATGATTAATAATTAATCATTTAATCACAAAAAAAAAAAATTTATTTATGAAAATATAAATATTTGGATATAAACATGTACAAAATGTACAAATAAAAACATCTTCTAATGCAACTGGTATTTGTATAAAAATAGGGTGCAAACGGACCCAAGGGGGTGAACCAGTGGGATGCAAACATGTAGGGTGAGAATGTGTTTTGGGAGCGAACATACCTACAATGTAGTTCTACTTCTACATTGTACTTTAGCCATGATAGTGACCGCCTTCAACAAATTGAAGATAACGTCACAGGACAATAACCATGATAACTTTCAACTAGATATAGAATAATATTATACAAATTAAAAAATAGCGGAAAATAAAAGTTACAAATTAGCTGATGTGAATAGTTGACTTGGTAGACCAGCAGTGGGGTGAAAATGTAATTACTTCCCTTTTCTCACCAGCAAAAGTCCCCTATGTGTTCACACCAGTTGTTTTCATACTTAGAAGTTTTCCATTTTTACGAAGATGATGAAACACAAATTTTTAATTTATTAGTAAAGAATTTATTTTCATAAGAAACGTCTTGAAAGCATTGACTTTGTATATCTAACTATCTATCTTCATATTTCAAATTTTTGAATATTTATGAACGAGCAGATATAATTTGATAGAAAACCACTAGACTGGTTTGTATTCATCTCATTTGTAATGTAGGCCACTGTAGGTGTTCTAGCATATTTGAGACAGAGCTGGTATTGTGGTATCTGTTACATGTGTAGCAAGCAGCTCTTCAGTGGACCATCTCAATATGATTGATTTGATTTTTGTTGTGCATGTTGTGAGGGTCCCAGACACAAGAGCTGTACTCAAGCTTGGGTCATATGTTATTTCAAAGGAGTACATTGTCCAAATGGCTTTAAATGCAACATTAAATCAAAGTAGTTTCTTTTATTTCCAGCACTCATTACTGGAGTGATATCAGAAGAATAAATTTTTTTTGAAAAATTAATTTATAGGTTCATTAGATTGTTATTTAAAGTGTCTTACGAAATTTCATTAAAGTTTTATTCCATTATTGCATTGAAAATGCAGTATTCCTTTCCTAATCAATTATCAAATATTGTTTACTTTTGTAAACTTTTCATAGCTTGCCATTGAGAAAATTATACAAACCATGGATTGGATCCTAAGTGACTAGATATCACCAAAATCTGTTTTCTTACAATAATAACTACAGACAAATGCATGTCTCAGCGGACATGAGAAAAAGAGCTCAAAAGGGAAAAATGCACAATTGATCAATTTTAAGTTGCTTAAATTTATATACATTTTAATAACTTATACACAATGCTTAATACCACAAAACACAGATCAAGTTGGTGGCGTCACTATAACTGTTCTTGAATTATGCCCCTTCATTTTGCCCTTTATAAACATAAATATTGCTTAATTTTTCGTTTCCGTTCTCTGACTTCAGTTTGCCTCAACCAAATGTTATGAAACTTATACACAATGCTTATTTCCACATAATACAGATCAAGTTTGAAATTGGGTGGCGTCACTTTTAACGTTCTTGAGTTATGCCCCTTTATAAAGATAAAAATTGCTGAATTTTTCGTTTCAGTTCTCTTACTTAAGCATGTTAAGTTAACCGCAACCAAATGTTATGAGACTAATACACAATACTAACTTATTATTATACTAAGTTATTACCACAAAACTCAGATCAAGTACAAATTTGGGAAGCGTCACTTTTACTGTTCTTCAGTTATGTCCCTTTATAACTTTATATGATATCCAAGGAGGACATCATCTGTGTCCCATATGCATGGACACATTCCCCATTTATTTTTTATAATTTTAGTGATTACAAATCAGTTAAAGAATGGGATTAGCAGCATCCCGCCAAGAAGCATTCTGGGAAGCATGTGGGTTTGGACATATTCTGCGAGTTAAGAAATTTTTGGAAGCTGGAGACATTGATGTGAATTGGGTATCTTATACAGTAAGTTAAACTTACTAGCACTATTTAAAATAAAATTAATCTGATTAGAATACAGATCCTGAAAACGCCCCGATCTACTTTCTGTATCAAAGAACTTTTGGGATTCTCTGGTTCTGTCAGATTAATATATTCACACCTTCAAAAATTTGATTGGCTGATGTAAATTAATAATTACCAGAACAGAAAGTAAAACTGAGTGTTATCAGATCCTTGTAAGAAAAGCTTAAAGACAGGTACAATGTAGGATCTGCATTTTAATCAGATAGAAATAAAAATTCTTTGAAACATTTATTTAATGATATACTGTACATGTGGATACACTTATTTTTCGTAGATACCAATTTTCATGGATTGAGGAACACTTCTCCTGGATATTTAATCATGTACATGTAGGTTAGCCAAAGCCTGTATAAAATTCTTTGGAAAATGTGTACTGCATGGATCGTATAAATTGGGGGTTACCTATTACCATGTAATCCATGAAATTTGGTAACCAATGAATAATAATGAATACACACTAATTACTATTTTTTGGATTCAGTTTGAGAATTGATTTAAATTTGAATATCTTGTACAATGTTATATGTCAGTAGATAAGATGAGTTGTTAAGTGATGGTAGTGACTATAAGAAAACATATATATATAACATGTATAATGTCCCTGGATAAACCTGATATATTTTTTTTTTAAATACTTTTAGTCTTAACCATATCATATATAGATATAAGAAGATGTGGTATGAATGCCAATGAGACAACTATCCATCCAAGTCACAATTTATAAAAGTAAACCATTATAGGTCAAAGTACGGTCTTCAACAGGTAGCCTTGGCTCACACCGAACAGCAAGCTATAAAGGGCTCCAAAAAATGACAAGTGTAAAACCATTCAAACGGGAAAACCAACGGTCTAATCTATATAAAAAATGAGAAACGAGAAACATTTATGAACGACATCAACAAACATGCATATTAACCAATCTTATTAAAATACAGATCCCGTGTTTAAGCTTTGCTTACAAGGATCTGAAAACGCTCTTTTCTACTCTCTATTTTAAAGAACTTTCAGGATCCTATGGTTTTGTTGGATTAATACACACCTTAAAAAATGCTGTAGAATGATCTAACAGCACTCAATTTTATTTTCTGTTCTAGTAATGTTACATCAGCAAATGAAATTTCAGCCTTCAAATTTTTGAAAGTCTATCATTTGGACAAAATCAGAGGATCTTGGAAGGTGTTAAAACTGAAATAAGAATGGATTGTTGTCAGATCGTTGTAAGCAAAGGGTGGACACAGAATCTGTTTTTAAATGAGACGGTTGGTAAAATGAACTTCTGATGTAGAGAGGCTGGCAACGTCAATTTACCTCCGCAATCTTGTTTTCTCAGTGAAAAAATTACATCAACTTTGAATAGACTATTAACTACTTATCCATCATTTCGCCTAAAAATAAGAATACAAAACTATCTTGTGTAAAACATATATATATCCCCAAAAAAAACTTTATTTTAAAGCATGTTTGATTGTATTAAATGGAAATAATAACCTTACTAGCCCTATTGTTGACGTTTTTCATATGAGCAGCACCGGAAAATCTCAGAAAGGGTTGTTTCAACTTAAAATAATTGTATTTTCCTGACTGATGAACAATGCCTATTTGATATTTTTCAGCATGACTGTTGCCCTATACATGTAGCTTCTCAGGGTAAAACAGAAATAGTACGACTTCTGATAGAGGCTAAATGTAATGTTAATGTACAGGATATTGTGAGTATGAATAAAGTACTGGCAAATGACTGGTATGATTGATTGATTGTTGTTGGCTTAACATCTATTGGCAAATATTTCAGGCATCTTCAGGAGGAGTTACTGGTGTGATTGATTGATTGTTGTTTACTTAATGTCCAGTGGCAAATATTTCATGCAAAATCAGGACAAGTTACTGGTATGACATGATACTGCTAATTTTTATCTTTCAGATAATTGAAGTTTTTGCAAACGCTTGTGAGCTTGAGGGCTGTCATTATAAAAGATTTTTTTACACAATAGAATTGTCATATAGATCATGTAGATCTATGTTTGTTAATCATGTAAATATAAAAATGAGGAGATGTGGCATGATTGTCAATGAGACACCTATCCACCATAGTCCATATCTTGTGGATGTAATGAAGTATAGGTTATGGTATGATCTTCAGCAATGAGAAAAACCTGAACTGTATTGTTAGCTATTAAAGGCTCAGACATAACAAAAAGTGAAACGATTCAAACAAGAAAACCAGAACCCTTTATTCACTGTAAGAATATCCCCAGCAAGAAGAAACTTTCTGCACAGTAACAAAATAATATCAGATTAAATAAAAGTTATCATACGTCTTATTGTGATAGGTGTAACATCTGTCTTTTCTTTACTGATTGCCCTGTGATAATTCTGTTCTATATACATATACTGTGGATTCATTTTTATACGCCCGTTTACGGGATGTATTATGGTATACCGTTGACCGTCTGTCTGTCTGTCCGTCCTTCCGTCTGTAGTCAACATGTCGGACATTAACTCAAAAAAGCTTTAACCAATATGCATGAAACTTTGGTGAATTGTTTATATCTATTAAAGTGAGCTCCCTTTTGTTTTTTATAAATTTCAGATTTACTGTTTCTGAGTTTTGGGGTTTTATTCATTAAAAAAGGGGGGATTTTCCAGTTTTCCGACAATAACTCAAGAATGCTTTCACCAACTTGCAAGAAATTTTGGTGAATTGTTTATATCTATTGACATGAGCTCCCTTTCGATTTTTTAAAATTTTAGAATTTACGTTTCCGAGGTTTTATTCATAAAAAAAGGGTGATTTTCCAGTTTTCGGACAATAACTATAAAAAGCTGTCAGCAGTTCTCATGAAACTTTGGTGAATTATTTATAGCTATTGATTTTTCTCCCTATTGATTTTCATAAATTTCAAATATGACATTGAGAAGAAATTGAACTTTATTTGTTTATAGTCTGTTGACAACAGATTTACTAGGTATTGCGCAACAGCACAGTGTATTGCACAACAGCAAGAAATCTTTAATTGAATATGAATTCAATTCATATAACCAATTTCAAGTTCTTTGACTACATTTATTCAGAGACCTATAATATGTCAAATATTTAATTACAATCCAAATTCAGACCTGTATCAAGCTTGAATATTGTGTCCATTTTTGCCCAAACTGTTCAGGGTTGGACCTCTGCGGGCGTATCCAGCTGCGCTCAGCGAAGCAGTTTATTACTCGTGGGATACCGCTTCGTGAATTCCATTGGTGTATATGTGAAACAGATTTTTTCAATAATCTGATTGAAATACATACATAGAATTGAGAATGGAAATGGGGAATGTGTCAAAGAGACAACAACCAAACCAAAGGGCAGAAAATAGCCGAAGGCCACCAATGGGTCTTTAACACAGTGAGAAAATCCCACACCGGGAGGTGGGCTTCAGCTGGCCCCTAAACAAAATGTGTACTAGTTCAGCGAAAATGGTCGTCACACTAAACTCCAAAACATATAAATGAACTAAAATTTAAAAAACATACAAGACTCACAAAGGCCAGAGACTCCTGACTTGAGACAGGTGCAAAAATGCATAGGGTTAAACATGTTTTGTGAGATCTCAACCCTCCCCCTATACCTCTAGCCAATGTAGAATAAACAAACACACAGCAATACGCACAGTAAAACTCAGTTTAAAAGAAGTCTTGAGTCCAATGTCAGAATAAGTAACAAATTAACAAATTAGGTACATGTACAGATCCTGCTTTCACACTTTGCATACAAGGATCTGACAAAAATGTTAAACAATTATAAAGAAAAAACACAAATCAATATTTTATTTTTTCAATAAACAATAAGCAAAAACAGATACAATAGACAACAACACCCAATTAATTACAGGATTTAAAGCATTCTCTTGAAAGGTGGTATAAAGGCAGTTTACCAGTTTTGTCTTATATTATATATATATGATAAGTCAAAATGTTCATTTTTTTTTAATTTTGCTGCTGTCTCATTGAATTAATGATACTCAACTCTCATTTTATTTTTATTTTTCTGATATACATGTACATTGCATATTATATGATATACAAGTTGCTTGATCTCTTAAATATGTTAAAGGATATTGTTGTTTTCTCATTTTCAGAGAGGAAATACACCACTCCATCATGCAGCTATGAAGGGTCATGGGGATATTATAAAGATATTGGTGGAGGCTGGAGCTGAGGTCAATGTACAAGATAAGGTATCAGCATTTTAGTCAGCTCTTTTCAACTTAAGGGGGATACAGAACACCAAAAGAAATTAACTCTTTAAAAATCAACTAAATGTTTTAATCACATACTAATCATGCTAATAGGAATCAAACTTCTCAATGATCAAAATTAGTGTTTGTCAAACTGCTATATATCTAATGAAATTAATCCTTTAAATTGTATGGTTCAAATTTTTTTAATTTTTTGAATTTTTGTCAACATGTCGAAGTAAATGTTTTGTAAAAAATATATACTTGGGAGTCAAAAGTCAGTAATATGAAAATAGTCTATAATCTCTGTTGTTGTATTTTACAGAATGATTGGACAGCATTACACTGTGCTTGTTATTGGAATCATAGTAAGGCTGTTAGAGTTCTACTGAATCTTGGTGCAGATATTTCCTTACAGAATAAAGTATGTACAAATCAAATGTCAGACTACATTTAGCTGTAAATAATTACACTATTTTGTAAATGATATTAGGGAACGACCATTTAACTTCAAGGGGGAGGGGGGGGTTATGTTTTTTTCTACAAAAAAAATCTGATCCCCAATTTGATGAAAAAAAATATTCTGGTCAAGCAGATGACAAAAAAAAGATATTCTGAGTCCAGATTTTCCCCATACCTTATAATGTTAAATTTTGATAAAAATAATTTTATTGATAGCTTTGAAAAACTAAATAAAATTTATTGTGATGTGCGTATTAAAAAATTTCTGACTGAGACAAAAAACCATAACCCCCTTGAAGTTAAATGGTTACTCCTTTATAGAATATTCATTAGTTGAAGGATTTGGAGATAACAAAAGACTTAAATAAGCCATTCATTTTTTCTGTTGAATAGGTCACATTTTTTACATGTTGCATCATTAAATTTTATTTCAAATGATTTTTTGGAAGTTTTCTAAATTTTTGTATTAGGTGTTTTTGCTTATTTTAGCTTAATGAATATTTTTAGCATTTGTTATGATACCAAATAAATAGAAAGAATATATTAGAACTATAATTTTTCATAAGACTTGCTTAGAAATATAGTACTTCCTGTAAAAACAACTCATGCAATATTGGTTTGCAAAAGAATTTGTAAACAACTATAGGTCACTGACAGCCTTCAAGAACAAGCAAAGTCCATACCCCATAGAAAGCTATAAAAGGCCTCAAAATGACAAATGTAAAACAATTCAAATGTGAAATTTAACGTTATTTATGAACAATCAGTAAACAAATCTATATATAGGATTTTATACAAGTTTCAGAAATGGCTTTTTAACCTATATGTTAAAAAAATTATGAAAAAAAAAGTAGGGGTTAGAGGGAAAACTTTTTAATGGCTCTTCATTTATCAACCATAGGATTCTGAATATCTGACAAAAAGTCAAAAACAAGATCAGCGAGCATCCTTAATTGAATAAGCAAATATACTTCTCCCTTCATAAATAAGTTGTCTCCCTTCATAAATAAGTTTTTCCTGCTTAGTGCTCTGATTGCATCAGATATATATATATAGATATGTGTATTTTTTTTTTGTCACAATCTGGTTTAATTTGTTTATATGACAATAAAGATTATTATTATGTTATTAATTTATGTATTTAATGGGAGATAACTTTACTTTATTTATGATATAACTTTTTTTTAACTTTTTGATTTTTTCACAGAAACTAATAAATAGGTCAACATATTTTGTCTGAGCCATCTGGGTCTGGGTCCAGAGGTTGCACATTTTGCATTTCTTTTTCTTTTTAAAATAAAATAATTTGTTCCACAAAGTTTTTTTTTAAACTGCATGATGCATCAGTCAATATCAAAACATGTTTATATCACAAGGGAGATAACTCAAAGTGCACACATATCTGAATTTGTTTTTTATAACACCTCCACCATTTTCTGAAATGTTAAGCTTTTTTTAGTAAGGTTAAGAACAACTGTTACAGTGTAAAAACAGATGAAGTAGATTGAAAGCATCAAGTGAAATGAGAAAAATGTGGTGATACTCCATAGAGTTGATTTCCAAGAAAAAATTAGCAAAAAAATATATTTCTGTCATAATGATGTTGAAGAACATTTTGGCCTCACCTTTAGCATTTGATGAAATCCTTTCACATCAATATTTGTTTCATGTTTCAATCATTTTTCATAACAAAATTTATTTTTGAAAGTGTCGACCTAAATGTATTCCAGAAGCATGGAGATCAGGGTGTATTGTCATAAGACTTTACTCAGTTCTTGGAGTACACAATTTGTCCTCGAAACAACTAATCCTGTATTTTGATTGGTCTGATCATACTCCAAATTTTTATGACTGCATGGCCAGGTCTTTAATGTAATAGAGTTATTGTTCTTTCAGAATACCACTTGTAATAAACGGAAGGCCTATTTTATGCATTTTAGGATAAAAGAACAGCCCTTCTTGAAACAGCAAGGTCACAGGAAAAGGATGACGAGTCATTAGGGGAGATAACTCACATGCTAATCTCAGCAGGAAGTGATCTAAATTGTAAAGGTTGTAGCGATCTTGGAGATTTAGAGGTGAATAAATTAAACATTGGTAATCTTGAACTTAATCATTAAATTTTTGCATAATATTCTTTAATACAGACATATCAAGGATTCTTTGATTTAGATAATATTGCCCTAAACAAAATTTGGCAATTGGAATGAGACTCAAGTTTTTGACAGTTCGATCTTGATTGTAAGGAAAATTAAAAAAATTCTCTGGCCAATGCATTCTTTAACAAATATCCTCGATCTGTACCTAAGATAATAACTAATCTATTGTGTAGTTTAGAAAGATAACGGAGGACTTGAAGAAGGAAAGTGGTCATAACATCTTGTGAATGGTTTATACACTACAACAATGTTAAATATGTTGTCTCTTTTCTACAAAGAAGTTACTTTAAAGAAAAATGAAATGCAGCCGGGCAATAGCCTAAAGTTAGTAGGGGGCCACTATGCTATCTGCACATTTTTCAATTACGTTCTTTTTTATTTCCATCATTCATGGTTTTTCTGTGGCTTCCTCTCTGTTTACCCATTATTTCTGTCTCTAATGTATTGAATGTTTATTTTACAGGCAGATTTTACAGGATTAATGTATGCAGCTTACCATAACCATCCTGATGTTGCTAGTGCACTCATTGAAGGAGGCTGTGAGATTAATGCATATGGATCTGTAAGTTTAATCTCATGAATATTCATCGCATTGCATCATGAATATTTATCTTCGTTGTTACCAATTTTCATGGAATGTCCTGATGTTGCTAGTGCACTCATTGAAGGAGGCTGTGAGATTAATGCATATGGATCTGTAAGTTTAATCTCATGAATATTCATTGCATTGCATCATGAATATTTATCTTCGTTGGTACCAATTTTCATGGAATGAGGAAATATTTCATGGATTCTTTATTTTGTGGTTTATAACAGATTTTGCTTACAAATCTGTAGGACACTGGTACATGTGGTAATAAGTTGAACACTAAAATTTGTGGTTGACTTATATCAACCATATTTCCCGAAATCAGATTTGCCATTTAAAATGATTTAAGAGGGTAGGAAGGGACTCCAATATCCCTCTTCAACAAACTTTCTTTCGTTGAGTAGTTTACGCATACGTCAAATTAAAATGCAACCATAAATGACCCATGTCCACAAAAAAAACTCCAGTCCTTAAAGTACACCACTTAAACAAGTAAAAAAAATCAAACTTAGATCTTCTTTTAAATGAATACATAAAAATGTTAGAAAACAGTGCTTAAAAAATTGCCACAGAGTCATCAAAAAATGAGCGTCCACAAAAAATTTGTTTACTGTAAGGGGTGTCAATGTTATATTTGTTTTAGTGTAAATTTGTATGGTTTTTATGCAAATTATGTACCTAGATATTTATTTAGCCAATAAATTATAAGTTGTGACTTTGTTAAAGTAAATATCCAGAGAAAGTGAAATATCTAAATAAGAATGCAGTGAATACTCTAAAATATTTTCAAAAAACAATTTACTGTTAAAGATAAGAACCAAAGGCCTAAAGTTATGGCTGTAAAGTAAAGTATAATCTATTGTATACAGCACTGTAAACATTCACATTTCAGTTTGATAAAAATTAATGTGCTAATTTCTTTTAAATCTTATTAAAGTTCCTGCCCAAAAAGCAATATAATTTTTCCTACACCAGAAAAGTACAGAAAAATACAGAAAAGCTAGAACAATTATCTCCCTTTGATCAGGTACTTACTCTGCATTATTTTTTACATTTCATTTTTTGAAATTTTATATTGACAGAATTTATGGACCGCCCTCCACTGGGCAGCAGACCGGGGTCACAAAGAAATGGTGTATCTTCTACTAGGGTCAGGGGCTGACCCTACAAAAAGAGGACAGGTGTGTATTACCATGAGGGGTTAACATGATATTTTGAGTAAAGATTGCATGAAATTCAGTCCAAACCCTTATCATCCTGGTTTTATTTCTATATCTTCAAGTTTATATAAATACCTTTGATGCTTAAAACAACATAATGGAGTGAGATAAACATTCTTTACGTTTCTACCCAGCAAATGTCATGTAATTTATTAATTACAAATTATACTCAGATATATTCAAGTCAAGACTTTCGATCTAAAAAACAGAGACATGTCAAATAGGATCAGAACTCAGCAAATACAAAAAAAAAATCAATATAGGCAGAGTTATTCTGTATTTTAAGAGTTTGATTTTTTTGTATTACACAGACAGTTTTTATCACAGTTAGTCCAATTACAGAGTAGTTAATAAATAAACTCTTATATAATACACCATGCAGATGCATTTCAGAGGATTTGAAAATTTGTCGTATAAGCATTAACACATCTCATTTCCATGAAGAATATTTGGCCACGCCCCCTCAGTCATGGTCTATCGACTTTGAAACTTTTGCTTAGTTTACATGTATTAGTTTGTATATATAAATAACTATTAATTCAAATGCAGACTGCTGTTACTGCTGATATTTAAAGTTGAAAATAGCCAAAAGTTTGGAAAAAAGGTGAAATATTGAAGAATTTGAAAAATGGATTTATCAATTTTCTTAGAATCTTCTTTCTCTTTTTTACACTCATTTCAATTCAGTTTTTCGATTTTGTTACAGAGAAATGAATTAGCAGCTGATAGAGCAGAAAGTCCTGAACTGAAGGAGATGTTACATAATGCTGTTAATATGTTTAATGAATTAGCTACATTGAACTCTGGTCCTAAAGTAAGTATTTGTAGTAAACTAACAGTTAAATTTTTTGGGAAGTATGCTTGCTCATTGAAAATGTAAGTAATATTTCCAAACAAATGGATTACCATATATCTGCAGAGTAAAATCTGAAATGTCAATAGAAGTATATCTAGTCATGGGGAAAAAGATATTTACTCTTTTAAAATAGTGGAGAATATTTACAGGAAGCAATTTGAATGGATGAATGAACAAAGGAATGAATGAAATAAAAAACAAATGAATGATCGGACAAACAAACGAATGAATGAATCATGTAGATCAATTTATATCAGTTCTTCATTGGTCAAGATTCAATTTCCTATTGTAACATGACTAAAAAATGTTGTCACATAGAAAGAACACATTTTTTTGTTGATCATTGAAAAAGACATTTGAAGTTTGTTTTCATATCGTCTAAAAATCATTAAAGAAACAGATTCCACACCTGTATCTGGTACAATAAGATAGTTCTTCAAATGAGGCACATCTTTAGTAAAAATAATTGTATATCAAATATTCCAGGACCTCCATAATTCGATTTCAGTGTATCCTTAAATGCTTCAGGGCCTCCATAACTTGATTTCAGGATATCCTGAAATAATTGTGGACCTCTATAAATAGCTATAAAGTTAAGGATATCCTGAAATTCAAGTGGGAAGGTACTGAAATACGTAAGTTTGACTGATTATTTATGGAGGTCCTGATGAAATGTTTTGTGTTATAAAAACTTTTAACCTACATAATGCTATTTATTAATCATTACCAGTATATGAATTAATTTTTTGTATTTCCAGGCAAAAAGTACTAGTGAACAAAAGCCAAAAATAGAGACAGAATCAAATTATCCCGAAGAATCACCTGTAAATAAAACCATTTTAAGCTCAGAAACTCTGAAGCAAAGTGACTCAGATGTAATGGACAATGAAGATAGCATACAGAGTCAAGATCATGAAAGTGATATCTGTGATCAAGTAACGAATCGAAAAATAGACTCTCAAGAAACTACTTCAAGTGAAACAGAAAGTTCACAGTCCCTTGAAACAAACACTATGTTGACTGAGGAATCAAGTAACCATGATTTTGCTCAAAAGACAGAAGAAAGTGATCTTAAGGAAAAAGATATTTCAGAGGACAAAACAGGACAAACAGAAGTATTATCTGCATAATAAACTGCAAGCGATAAAAATGTATTAAATGGTTGTAGAATTTATGTGATAGACTGTCTTCTAAATAATTCCTGTAAATTCAGAAATTATTGTATGTATTTATTATTGCGGTTTTTAAAGAATGGACAAAATTCAATATTAATTATTGCGATTTCAGGAAAATCTGCATACAGATATATGTATCAGATATCAGAATAGGAGTTATTAATAATGCGATACTCACCTAGTCTCATTATTCAAATTAATAAAAATCTCGTAATAATTTTTGAATTTACAGTATCTTTATTGAATCAGAAGGAAAAATTTCACTAAAAACATTTATGCTGTGTTCCTCTCTAGATCTGCTTTTCTTAATTTTCACTTCATTTTCTAAACACTCATGCACATGCAGCTATTTTTCATTTTAAGTCCAGTCCTTCACCCAAATGTGACTGGTCAGTAGAATGGTAACTCATAAGATGCAATGTTATGTTTGTATGTGAAACATTTAAACAATAATGTAGTTGAGCAACTTGTTTCTTGATGTTAATTTTTACAGTTGAATTTTACATTTTTCTTGCTATAGAATACTTATAACTTCTATAACACAAAGTGCGTCTATTTTAGCTACCTGTGCCTTTTGATATAACATTCATGTTATGATGATATTTATTTATCTGTATCTAATTATACTTGCCATATTTATATGCTTCCTTGACATCATAAAATGTTTTTTAAGGATGTAATCATTAGAATAAACACAATTCATGCACAATAAGCAGTGCCATTGTCAGTGCCCCCCCCCCCCCCCCCCCCTCCCCCTTCCACACACACACTTTAACTCCCTATCCCTTTCAAAGATAGACTGCGTTCTAAATAATTAATTGCAGAAAGAATAGTTTCTTAGTAGTATAATTTTATAAATTTCAAGAAGTAATTATTTACGCCCTTTATCCCTCTACCCCTCTTCCATGCAACAAATATTTGAGTACTATATTGTTTTGTTAGTGTAATTCAAGTAGCTTTATTTCCAATCCTGTTATTAAATGTGGACTCTTAACTGCTGCAGTTTTGTGTTACAATTATCTGTAGTGTATATGTTACTGTTTATAGTTTTATACATGTACTTGAAATTATTGTATTTCAATATTTTATAAAAGAGAAATGATAACTGTGGATTCATTTAATGTTGATTGAAGAAAAATTGCATTTTCATGGATATTTGATTTTGTAGTTTTGCAAAAGTCTGCAAGCAGGCCTTTATATAAAAAAAATTCTTGGTTAAATATTTACATTTAGTGTTCACCTTACCTATACATGTGAAATCCATGAAAATAGGTATCCCATCAATAACAATGAATCCACAGTATCTGAAGTTCAAAAATTTCCACTATTACAGCAATAGGCAGGTACTCTAAAAATCACAGTTGTCTTCCCTGTTGGTGTTCTCCTAGGAGAATTTTCAGGGTAACCCTGATCCTATAAAAAATGAACTTCTCCAATCTATATCTTAATGTGACAACTTTTAGCAATAAAATTTTATCTAAAAAATAATTCTCTTGATCCATGGTGCTATTAGAAATTTCTGTGATGTCTCAAGAAAGGTCACTATCATTTTACTTATGAAAAGTATTTGGCTATACTATTATTATTCCTATTTGGAAATTTTATGTCTCAGAATGTATTGTGTATGTTGAAATGTCAAAGTATCCCCTTATGACATTTTATACTTTAATGTATGTTGAGTGTGCAATTAAGTAAATAAGATTTAGAAATTTGTGCAATGTTTTATATTATTATGATAATTTGAGATGATAAGTATCGTTATTAATTAGTATTCACATTTTTATATTGCTTTATTTATATTGGGCATTTCCTAAAATTGCATTATTTACCCGGTAATGTCAATTTATTTTATTATTTATCATCAGTGTAAAAAAAATATGCTAGAGATAATTTTTTAATTAACAGTAAACTGACCATGTAACGATTTGTTTTTATATAAACACTACAGCATAGAAGTATTTTATCATTGGCCAAGTGGTCAAAGTAGCTATCTACAATTATCTCTAGCCTGTCAACACTGAGGTTTTGAGCTTGTAGCAGGTACATGCGACTCCAATTTTATTTGACAAGGACTGCCAGTTTTTCTGCAGAAAGTCTGTGGTTCTCACCAGGTACTGTTGCTTCCTCCAACATTAAAAAGTGGCCACCACGATGTAGCAAAGAGTGCCAAAAGTGATGTTAAAGACCAGCAATTAATCAATTAATTATTTGCACATTTCGATGATGGGAGTGGACACAAGAGTGGTAAAATGTAAAGATGGTCTCCTGTGGCAACTGTTTCTTTCATTATAACATTGAACTTACAAAATATTTTGTAAAAGCAGTTTAGTTTTTGTTTTTAATATTTTTACAATTTTAAGTGTGAGATAAAATTTGAGTGGACAAGAGTGTACTGTCAAAGGTGGGAAGATGTAAATGAAAAAATCCACGTCAGCTGTAGTAAAAATATGTGTATATTATTGTAGATTCATTAACTTTTGTGGGTTCCAATTTTTCATAGAATGAGATAAAATTGTATTTTTATAGATGCATGTACTTTCATTTTGTGCTTGTAACAAATCCTGCATGCATTCCTAAAGAAGATTTTTATATTTGTGCTCCACCTATACCCAATGAATCCATGCCAATAAGTACTTGGTCGATAATTTGGGACTTGCAACATGAATTATACCTATAAGTGTATATTGACAAAAATGCATTTGTAAGGAGGGATGGAACCTGATTCAAATTGGATTATCTCCCTTTCGCCAAAATAAATCTCATTTAAAAAATTATTTGAACAATATTAACACATTTTATTCTGCAGCTATAATACTTCATGTTATCTTTATCTATCAAATATTGTAACAAAAAGATATTCCATGCAATGTTGATTTCATGTCATGTTACTTTTCTTCACTATTTTGGGCTCTTTTAGGGATGCAATGTAAGTTTTTATTTTTGCATTTACATTTTCATAGTCCTTTTTAATCTACAGTTTAAAAATGATATAAGGTCAAAGTCAGAAAAATATCAACCTTTTTGAATTGGGCACAAAACTGTTGAAGAGGTCGCACTTCCCTAGTTTCTAAGCCTCATACCAAAAAGTTGATAGTTTTCTGAATTTGACTTAATTTTGAATACTGTATTGTAAATTCAGAAATTATTGCGAGTTTTTTTTTATTGCAAAAAATGCGACTGGGTGAGAATCGCAATAATAAGAACTCCCATTCTGACATTTGATGCATATATCTGTATGCAGATTTTCCTGAATTCGCAATAATAAATCTCGCATTTTTGTCCTTTCTTCAAAAATCACAATAATAAATGTACGCAATAATATCTGAATTTACAGTATATATGTATGTGAGATTAGTCAGATACTTGAGTGGAGTTATATTGCAAGTCTGAGCTCTCTCTAGAATGACATACTGTGGATTCATTTATTTTCGTGGGTAACAATTTTCATGGTTTGTTGAAAAATCATCTTTTCGTGGATAATTGATTTTGTGGTTTTGCCAATGTCTGCATATAAGCTTAAGCTTAAAGAAAATTTCCACTTTGTTAAGTATTGAAATTCGTGGTTAACCTAAACCCACAAATTCCACGAAAATTGGTATCCAACGAATGATAACGAATTCACAGTACAAATGCAGTAAGTCATGAATATTGATGAATCCACAGAAGCCATGTTTTTGTTTTAGTTTGAACATCATTGATGAATCAAATAGTTGCTGTAAGCACCTCATGAGATTGAATGGAATGTGATTTACAAGAAACCTGTATGAATAAACTATTTCTATGCCAGTTATTATCTTCTTTACTGTTCTCCTGTCATTCAAATATGATTGATCCAGCCATGCTGGATCTTTGTGATCACTCTTGATTTTAAGAAGGTTCAGAATTCTGAGCTGAAGATATATTATGAATCTAATCTTAGGACTTGCAGAAACTTGCAGAAACTTTATACACCATTTTAATCATCTAATGCCAACTTTTGAAATGTTATTTGCCCTTAAATTAAGTAAAAATTGGTCAAAATTTTAAATATACACTTGCATATAGTTCCTTTGTAAATCAAAATTTATATTCGATATTTCTATTTATGAATTAAATTGAAAAGGAAAAATATCAAATTTAAGCGGTTTGTAAGATGTTATGAAAGTATCAGTATTTTATGCTTATGTATACGCAAGTAATTGAATAAAATTTGGTACAAGATGTGTACTGATATAAAAATTGATTCCCACACTTTTTCAAATGCTATTTAATACTAAGCATGTAAGTGATGTCTTGGATAAGTTAGAAAAATCAGTTCTATACAACAATCTGAAGGAGCTATAGCCCTAGGATATATAAATTATCTGGAAAATTGGATTTGAAGCCGTCTCAAGCCTATTCTTGTAGGATTGTTAGGAAATTTTTATCAAAGGTTTATATCAGCAATGTGATTGTCTGGAACAAGTTCGAAAATCACCCCACTGATGAATTATTTTTATAGTGGTTATGTCCCTTTGAAATATAACTTATAGTGACTATAAGCACTCTCACATTTTCAATTCTTGTCTGATTTTTTAGGATATCAAAGATTTATACCAGCAAGGTCTTAGAACAGTGCTGACCAATTATTTTTTCAGGAGTTATGTCTCTATGAAAAAGGATTTAATGGAAAATAACATTGTTAGAAATTTCATGTCTACATTTCTAGTAGGATATTTATGAAGCTTTTTTAACAGAACCAATAATATATTTTTTCAGTAATTGCCCCAGAACAGTAAAAATACGTGCAACCACAAGGGACATTTGAACCCTGTTCTTTTGGCTCACCTGGCCATAAGGCCATGGGAGTTGCTGCCATCACTTGCATTTGTCATCATATTTTGTCTTCATCATAAACATTTTAAAGATCTTCTCCTCTAAAACTATTAAACCAATTTCAACCAAACTTTGGGTGAAGAATCCTTAGCGTATCTAGTATAAAGTTTGTGATATTTTTCAGGTCATTCAACTAACATGGCCATCATGGCAAAAAAACTTATGGTTAAAATGCATTGATCGTCTTGTATCTTGAAAAGCATAATAGATAAGAAAAATGTGACAGAGGGCATATGCTCAGAATGTCAAGATCTACCTTCTTCCTATTTTCATCAAAATTGTCAGATGACTTGTTAAGGGTTTATGGCTAATTTTTATATTTTTGCCTGTTATCTCAAAAACTATATTAGATAGGTAGAAACTGTTAAAGGCAAAAATGATCTGCAATACAAGATCTAAGAAATTGCTATTATAATGGAAACCAATTAAAGTCTCTTTAAGGTTTAAGCCTTAAACAACAATATTTGACTAATTTGTGTGTCTTTCATATAATTTTTCCCTCTGAGTTGCTGAATCGTATTTCAACAAAATTTTAGATGGACGATCGATAAGTGTTGTAGTTTTTTTCAGCAAATGTGAAATACAAGCGGCACGTCACAATATGAAGCCTTTTGTCAAGTGAGTTAGTTCATTATAGAAATCAAATTTGGGTTTAATGTATTTGCAAGGGGGTAGGAGCCGGGGTTGTTTCCCCCCCCCCCCCCCCCCCCTCTTTGGTAAAAAACACTAATGAAAATTTTAAAATGAAAAGGATAGAGGATAATGACTAGCTTCTAGACTATAAGACTATAGTTTGATTTTTTTTTTTTTTTTGGCTTACTGCTTTCAGAGGTTTTCCCCTCCTCCCCCCTTTTCAGTCTACTCCTTCACCACTGATATGTAATTCAGCCCACCTTATAATAAAAAAAAAACTCCATTATATATCTTCCTTAGGAGTGTTTTCATAAATTCATTTATCTATTTTTTGTTGTATTCAAGCTTGTTCTGTTTATATGAAACCTTTACGCTTGGCCCAATGGCTATGATTACGTTGAAAAACAACAACGAAATACTATAATGCTGGAATGCAAAAGACCAGTTGCAAACTTAAGCTTCATATATGTCCCATTTCAATACACAATCATTTTCCAGTGGCAGTCC